CGGCCCCTCCCGCTCCACGTCCCGGCTCGGCTGCTCGCCCAGGCACGGCGGCAGCAGGAGGAAGCGGCCGTCTGTGGAAGGGAGACAGGGAATGCCATCAGCACGAGGCAGAGCCCCGGATGGGAGGGCCCCACACACCCCACGCGTGCCCAGCCACCGTCGGAGCTCTGCTCCCCTGATCCTAAGGGATGCCCCTGGAAATACAGAGCTCAGACACACCTGCTGCGACTTGCACTGCCACAGAAAAACCACCACACGCCCTTGGCCTCCCCTGCCCACCCCCTGTTGGGGACCGTCCCTTGATCCAAGGAGGAGGACCCACTCACATTCGAGGCTTCCCACGAAGAGGTAGAGCCAGGAGAGGAGGATGGCCAGGGTGACCGTGGCGAGCAGCAGCTTCAGCTTCACACGCCAGGAGCGCAACATAGTGTGCGGGTGGGACGGGGCAGGGAAGATCAGGTGGGCAGCCCGAGCCCAGCTGGACCCGGCATCCTAGAGCCTGCAAGGGGCAGGGGAGGGAGTGGTGTCACCTGCAGCCCACACCCAGGTGCCTCCACATTCTCCAGCACGATGTGCCCAGTCTCCTGGTCCCTCCAGGACACTACCTCAGTGAGACAGATGCCTTTCACCTCTCCAGTGACAGCCTTCCCCAGCCAGCACCCTCCTGCCCTGTCCTGGGGCATGGGAACCCCCCCCTTGGGGCCTGTCCCAGAACGCTGCTGTGGCTACACTGCTCTCAGGGGGCCCCTCAAACACAGAAGAAGGGAAGAAGTTCTCCAAGCGATTTCACTCCAGCTCTGTACCTTGCTCCTTCCCATCCACCCCAGGGGCAAGGGGGACGAAGAGCTCCTAGGGGACGCGAGAGGCTGTGCTGGAGAGGCCCTCCCCGAGCCGGGCGGCAGGGTGGTTAATGGAGCCTGCCCTTGAGAAGCAGCGCAGGTCCCTCCCCCACCGCCTCCGGAGCCCGAAAGGGCCGGGGCTGCTCTTGAGACGCGGCCTCAAGGACGCGGCGAGTCCGGGTGGGAGCGCCCCGACCACGACCAGGCTGGCCCCGACGGGCAACTCCCATAACCCAGCTCTACCGCCGGCCAAACGCCTTCCCTTCCGCCCACAGCTGCCTGCCGGGCTGAGCCCCCGTCCTCGGGGCAACATCTGGAGGCTCAACAAAAGCCTCCGTAGAGATGAATGGGCCGGATTAAGGTCTGCTCCCCCACCCCCCGCACACACCCCATCGGAGCCCATTGATGTGCAGATGCCCATGGGGCCGCCAGGGCTCGGGAGCTGAAACAGGCGGCCTGGGAGGGCACCACCCTGAGCAGCCCCTGGGGCCTGGGTGCAAATGCCTGCCCGGCGCAGGAACTGCCTGCTGAAGGCGGAGGGAAAACTCGCCAGGATCAAGGGGGTAGAGGCAGCAACAGGCGCAGGCTCTGCAAGGGCTGGGGCGAGGCCAGCCCAGGCCATCCTTAACACTCCGGGGAACGCAGCTGAGCCACCGTGGGAGCAGGCATGGCCCCTGGGGGCTTGCACCCCTTTTCTTGGCAGAGAATGGGTCCTGCCAGCTCTCTGCAAGCAGGGCCCAGCCTCGCACGGAGTTTCCTCTGTACAGAGTAGGCCAAACACAGGCATGGCAAAGAAGAGGGAGCTCATTGCATGGAGCACACCAGGCCAAGGCATCCCTTCTCCCAGCCACAGCCACAAGCTGTGCCGGACCTGATGAGGTCTCTGCATGCTCTATCCCTTCCTACAAGGCAACGTTCACCCCTCCTGCCTGGCCTGGGCATCCCCCAAACTTTGTGCTGAGCTCACACCATGAGAGGTGGGAGTGAGGTGAGATGAGCTGGAACCAAGCAGTCAGGGAAGCCACGGGACAGAAAGGGACTTTAGTATGAAGGATAGAGAAGGTGGGGGCACACCACAGCACTCCTGCTCCTGCTTGCCCCCCGTGGCCCCTCAGGGGGAGCCTCACCGCAGGAACAGCACTTCATCCCCAGCACGCACACGAGCACGCTACCTGGACGGCAGTTTTGGGGGACAGAGCAGCAGGCCAGTTGGCAAAGACCCTCGCAGAGGCACCTAAGCATTCCATCCTTCCCTCCCATCCACCTAAGCACCCTTACCCTTCCCACCGTACCTTCTCCTGCTCCTCTCCTGGCCACTCGCCTGCACTCCAGGAGGTGCCTTCCTTACCTGCCTT